TTCCTTTCTTTCTCTTTTAAGGTTTATTTATTTCTTTTGAGAGAGTGGGCGAGCATGCACATACATGGGAGAAGGGCAGATAGAGAGGGAGACTGAGAATTCAAGCAGGCTCTGCGTCATTAGCAAAGAGCTGAACGTGGGATTCCATCCCACGAACCGCAAGACAACAACCTGAGCCAAAATTAAGAGTCATTGGGACACTCAAGCCCCCAGGCACCCGAGCTGCTTCTTTCTTTGGTCTCTCCCTGCCCTCTGAGTATGGGGGCCAGTTTCAGATCGAGAGAGTTACAAACCAAGAAACTCTCAATATATAAAAAAGATTCAAATACCATATAATAAAATATTACTTTGCTATAAAAGGGAATGAAGTACTTATAAATGCTACAACATGGATAAACTGAAAACATTCAGTGAAAGCCATCGGTCACAAAAGACCACATTGTACGATTCCACTTACATGAAATGTCCACAACAAATCTAGACAGAAAGTAGTAGATCAGTGGTTGCTTAGGGCTAGGTGTGTGGGAGAAGAATGAGAAAATTAGGGGGTGTTAGCTAAAGGGTGTGAGGCTTTCTGAAGTGATGAAATAAATGTTCTAAAATCGATTGTGATGCTGGCTGCACAACTCAATGAATACACTAAAAACCAATGAGTTGTACACTTAATTTTTTTTATTTTTTATTTTTTTTAAGTAGGCTCCATGCTCAGCATGGAGCAACATGGGGCCTGGACTCAACCCTGAGATCAAGATCAGAGCTGAGATCGAGAGCTGGATGCCCAACTGACTGAACTACCCAGGTGCCCCAAGCTGTACACTTTAAATGGGTCAACTATACGGTATGTAAATTACATCTCAATAAAGGTATTTTAAAAAATAGATTCGGGGCGCCTGGGTGGCTTAGTCGGTTAAGCGTCTGACTTCAGCTCAGGTCATGATCTTGCGGTCCTTGAGTTCGAGCCCCGCGTCGGGCTCTGGGCTGATGGCTCGGAGCCTGGAGCCTGCTTCCAATTCTGTGTCTCCCTCTCTCTCTGCCCCTCCCCCGTTCGTACTGTCTCTCTGTGTCTCAAAAATAAATAAACATTAAAAAAAAAATTAAAAAAAAAATAGATTCAAGGAATGCATAATGAATAAATGTTGAGTGTAAATGGTCTTATTTATGCCAGATATTCTCCAGCTGAACTCGTTTCCTAGTGATCTTTTGAAATCTTTTTTTTGAAGTAGTTTAAAAATCCTTTTTTAAACTGAAAAGTACAGAATATAACCCATGCCTCTGTAACCTAGATGTAATACATCCATATTTTGCTATATTTGTTTCACATCTCTCTATTCTTTTAGAAGTAAAACAAACAGATACAGCTGCTAATACCCCTTATACAAATGGTTCTTCAAAAGGTCCTTCTGACTTAGGGTGCAGACTGAGAGAGAATATACCTGAGAGAATAACTGTTAAGATGATGCAAAAGGGCAGGTAGGTAAGTAGTAATTAAAACATCAGGACAGCATCACATACCCCAGGCATGTTCATAATGTACCAGTGTACTATTTGGGAATTATTCTATATTTTGGAAAGTCCGGAAAATGTCAATCACCTCTCCATGTATTATCTATTCTCTATATCCATAAACGTATAAAATAAAATAAATGTATTACCTGTGAAAGTAGAGTCTGCATGATTGAATTAGCCAGCTGAGAGTTCCTTCTAAGGACATCATAGAACCCCTAAGAGGAATCAAATAGAGAGTAAGCTCTTTAACAGGTACGCTAAGTTCTAACTTTACTTTTTTTTTTTTTTACTTTTCTTATTTACTTTTTTTGAGAGAGAGCAAATGAGCGAGCATGGGTGCACGCAAGCACAGACCAGCAGGGGAGAGGGAGAGAGAAAGAATACCAAGGAGGCTCCATACCCAGTGCAGAGCCTGACACAGGGCTCCTTCTCACAATGTGAGATCATGACCTGAGCTGAAATCAAGAGTCAGACACTTAACCGAGTGAGCCACCCAGGCGCCTCTGGACAATCATAACTGTAAACATTAAAACAAAATTTTTTTAAACAATACTATTTCTTTACACTATTTCTTAATTCTTTGAAATGACTGAAATTATAGAGAGAGAAAAGGCTCAGAGAGTTTAGGTTATTTGCCTAAAAAGAACTAAAGAAATCTTTTTTTTTTAATTTTTAATGTTTTATTATTTATTTTTGAGAGAGAGGGGCAGAGCATGAGTAGGGGAGGGGCAGAGAGAGAGAGGGAGACACAGAATCCAAAGCAGCTCCAGGCTCCGAGCTGTCAGCACAGGGCCCAGAGCCAGACGTGGGGCTCGAACTCATGAACTGCGAGATCATGACCTGAGCTGAAGTCATGATGCTTAACTGACTGAGCCACCCAGGCACCCCTAAAAAGAGATCTTTGATCACTGAGAACCAGATTAATAAACTGACCACAATCATCATAATTTTTAAACAACAGGTCATTTCCGGATTTGGAGTACTTTGCTCCTTTACAGTCAAGAATGTTCTAGGTCTTCATTCTTTTGTCTCATCCTACATTAACAGCCTTCCCTTTTAGGACATTATTTCCACTTACTTTCCAGCGCTTCAAAAATGTCTCCTGGCCCTGAGCACTCTAAAGTAAATGACTGTGTGATATTTCTTCCCATCCAGTATTTCCCATAGTTAAAAACTACTTAAGTTAAAATCTTGGGGGGAGGGGGCCTAGGTGGCTCAGTTAAGCATCTGACTCTTGATTTCAGCCAGGTCATAATCTCACAGTTCGTGGGATTAGGCCCTGCATGGGGCTCTGCCCTGACACTGTGGAGCCTGCCTGGGATTCTATCTCTGCCCCTCCCTTCATGTGTGCTATCTCCCAAAATAAATAAATAACTTAAAAAAAAAAAAATTAAATCCTGGGGAGAACTTTCTTTTTGGAACTGGGAAAAAGACTGTATGGTTCATTTGAGAGAAAAAGTAAATGAGAGTTGACCCCCTAAACATTTATTTATTTATTTAAAAAAAAATTTTTTTT